CCACAAGCTTAACCAGCTTCAAAGCATGCCTTGAAAAGTAGGTCTGACAGGTTTGACACGGTTAATGGTCTGTTGCATGTGTGCTGCACTGTGGGTCTCACTGAAGCATGGCAATGGTAAAAAAAAGAACACCACAAGCTACGAAACTTCCTGCTGGGGTTTAACATGTTAAATGGTGGAGAAAAAGATGTTTTTTTTTTTAAACACACAGTTGCATTTTCTTTCTTAAATACATTTGCATTTCTCTGCTTTCGGAAGAAAACCTCATATCTCCAAAATGGTAACTTTACAGGAGAAGGAAAAAACCTGCTTTACTTTTAATGTAAGTCAATGGAACCAGACATTTTTGCAAGTCATTCTGAGCCAGTGCTTTTACTCCAATCATCATCAAATTTATACACAACATAAAGAGCAACAGGTATTTTCAAATTATGTAAAAAACTGGAAAACAACAAAATGGAGATACAAGGTTTTCTTCCGACAAGACTACAGAATTAGTAGCACCACAAACTACTAAACCATAATCAAGAAGTTCTGAAAGACCCATCAACACTGACGCATCCATGGGATGTACTGGTTATTGTTCTCTCCCATCACTGCACCATAAAAAGCCTTCATCTGTCACATTATTCAGAGCACACAGTAAGAGTAGAAGGGGGGATGGAGTAGGTGGAGAGAGAAACCCAAATAGTGTACTCAGCCACAACACCTGCACTTTGTCTGCCAGACACACAATGCAAATAAGCCCCAGCATAGCATCTGTTACTGAACACTGGGGTCTGTTTAAAGTTTCATCAGTCTGGTCATATTGCTGTTGATCTTTCTATACTCAGAGTCAGTAAGGCGTCTGCTCCTTCCAACAGGCTGGGATAGTTTTACACCTGCCCTATTATGACCACACCACACCATGCCTCGGCCTCCACAGCAAACCACAGCCCACTAACGTACGCCCGCTGAACTAGGACACATACAAAATGACTTCTGTGTAAGTCTTCAAATTGATGGTTTGTTGCAATACACTGGTACCACTTTTTTTGCTTACTATACACATACCAAGCCGATCCAGAGTACCAATACTAAGGCCCAATCCCATTTCACCCCTCGCCCCTACCATTTAGCCCTTAGCCCTCTGTTTTGTGGGTTCACGTCTAGGGTTAAGGTGTCCTGATTTTTGTTGAGATGGAGGGGTAGGGTGAAGTGTTAGGGGTACATGGCCCTCCAAATGGAGGTTTTTCAGAGTCACACTCCAAACAGAGCATTAAAAAACATGAGAATTTTCTCTGTTAAAAATTACGATAATCATTGTATTGTTTTAGTTTAATGTTGTTTCAATGTATTATGGTTGTTTTCTTCATAACAAGCGTTAAAAAAAATAAATAAATAAAAAAATAAATCACCAATAGCATGCTAATGTCTGCGTAGCTAGCTAGCCAACTTTCCCGTTCCACCTTAAATAGTCCAGCAGCATTGACGCCTGAAGCGCCAGAATGTAACTGCTGCACCATTTAAGGTGGAACGGGAAAATTCAACAAGAAGCTGGTGAATATCTGACTTCAGCTTTGTATCACCAAAGAATTAGGGGTGGGTGATAATCAATAATTGTCTTATAGCCCCTCTTTGAAGGCATATAATGGCCTAAATGTAACTAAAGCCCAGCAGTGAGGAGCTGAACTTTACCCTTCTCTGCTATCACTGAAGTCGGGCTGGGTCGCCTACAGAGCAGCGCTAGTAGCTGTTAATGAAGCAGTTTTTTTTTTTTTTCAGGTTTTTTTCAACCACTACCCCTTAGTTCCAAGGGGTTAGGGTGACACTCAAAAACAAGTGGTAGGGGTAAAAAGAAGAAATGGGACTGGGCCTAACTCTAACCCAACTACTCGATAAGTGCCTATAAATCCTAATATTTATATATTTAAAATCCATTTTATTTTAGTAAAAGCAGTGTTCTGTGTACCAAATAAAACTTACTAAACTTAAAAGAATGGCAATGTCTTTCACGCTTCCAGTAGCAGCAGTTGAGCCTCAGCTTGATGACAGGCCAGAGCCCAAATCCATGTTGTAGTCTGATACAGCAGACCAATGGAAGCACACTATGGACAGTATAAGAGAAAACACCAGCGAGTTGCCATGCTAAAGACTAACTCTAGGCTAAAGGTTAAACTGACCAGTGGCCAGTTGCACCAGCTTTACCTAAGTTCAAGCATAGGCTAGTGGTAGCACAAGTACTTACAAAGTTCAGGTTCACACATCACTAAATCAAAACGGCTGCACCACACAAGCTCGTTTTAACGTTGAGTTTAGTACTAAATACATACACCTCTCCCCGAGCAGGTGTAAGTGTTGGGGAAGCCAACAGAAACCACAGACAGCACAAAGATACCAAAAACATGACTATATGCTGCGATTTCAGTTACAGCTCTACTCATCGCACCTGGTTTTAAACCCGAACATGAAGCAAACACCAACAGCTCCTGTACAGCGAGAACAGCAGCTGCCAAAACATCTAAACTGGGGCTACTGTTGTGCTGAATGACTAGCTGCTGAGTTAAAAAGACATATTAAAAAGAATAAACAGACAATCGTATTCAATTTAAATTAGTTCCTCTAGTACACACAGTTCTCTTCTATATGGGATTCTGTTTTTCCAGGGAAAAAGTGCAAGCTCCCGTCATGTTTAGTCAAGTCAGGTTTATTTATATAGTGCTTTTTACAACAGGTGTTGTCACAAAGCAGCTTTATAGAAAAATCCGGGTCCGAGCCCCCATGAGCGTCACCAATGGCGACAGTGGCAAGGAAAAGCTCCCTAAGAGCAAGAGGAAGAAACCGTGAGAGGAACCAAGACTCAAAAGGGGAACCCATCCTCTTCTGGTCGATACCGGATAGCAAACAGCGTTAGTATAAAATATTAGAATACAAAAACAGGGAAGAACAGGTGGAGCAATGGTTAATTAGATAGTGTTTACAAGCCAGCAGGTATATAGATTGGCTGTGAACATGTTAATAATCATGTTAAAGCAATGTTGCTTCTAGTTAAAGACATGACTTAAGGTTGTGTGGTTCAATAAAAGTTAATTAAAACATAGTTTGAAGTTAACTAGTGTTAACTAAGGACTTTTAAAGACATATAAACTTAAACAAAACCTGTCTACCCCAGTCCAGCTGTTCCTTCCACATATCACTCTAATATTCACTCTACCAATAACAGCTTGGACTGACTACAGAGGAAGATGAGCAATGACTGAAAGATGCCATTCAAGTAAAGTGACTAAAGTTAGCATGTTTTTGCAGAGTTTGTTCGTTGCATTGTGTGTGCATATATGTGCCTTAGGAAGAATTTCAACCAGTACGTCACCCACTACTAGCGCCTCCCCTTGAAATACAGGCATTACAATTTTGCAGTGTGTACTACTGCTTGTCTCAAGTGTGAACTAACCCAACACTGTGTTTCTTGCTTCAGTTTAGTTCCATCTACTGGCGTGCATGTCCTTCACGGTATCAATATTCTCTATTGCCGAGACTGATACTGAAGTGTCAGTATCGCAGCCAATACCAATATGGTATTGGTGCAACATTACTTGTTACTTGAGCCTTGGTTGAACATGAGGATTCTTCTAAAAATATTACAAAATGTTGCTCAGAGTAGTGACACCTGAGACATAGCATGGATCAGAGTACTGTAGGTAGCAGTAGCTGTCATTGTGGCACATTTGATAGTAAAACAAGTGGTCTACCTTGCGGCTTCGGCTAGGCATCCAGAGTTGCAGTCTCAGCGCTACTGGCAATTGAATATAGCTTGCATGTGCACATAATATCAAAAATGATAGATGATTATGACTTGTAGTAGCACTGGTATGTACCTCTGAGGCAAAAACTTTTAGTGAGTTTGCCAAGCAACCAGAAATGTCTACATTTTTCACCTTGTAATTCGCTAATGTACACAAATCTCTGACCTTGAATTCATCATTTACCAATGCAATTTTTACAATAATTTTGGACAAATTATAAACCTATAAATCAATATGTCTGAGCAACAAATTTATGGTCTAAACTCTTTGTTGTCTTCATACACAAATACACAGGTATAAGATACTCCGATCAGGCATAACATTAAGACCACCTCCTTGTTTCTACGCTATTGTCCATTTTATCAGCTCCACTTACTATATAGGTGCACTTTGTAGTTCTACAGTTACAGACTGTAGTCCCTCTGTTTCTCTGCATACTTTGTTAGCCCCCTTTTACCCTGTTCTTCAGTGGTCAGGACCCCCATGGACCCTCACATGGCAGGTACTATTTGGGTGGTGGATCATTCTCAGCACTGCAGTAACACTGATGTGGCGGTGGTGTGTTAGTGCGTGTTGTGCTGGTACGAGTGGATCAGACACAGCAGGGCTGCTGGAGTTTTTAAACACTGTGTCCACTCACTGTCCACTCTATTAGACACTCCTACCTTGTCAGTCCACCTCGCAGATGTAAAGTCAGAGACGATGCTGCACAGTTTGTGTTGGCCATCCTCTAGTCCTTCATCAGTGGTCACAGGACGCTGCCCACAGGACGCTGTTGGCTGGATAGTTTTGGTTGGTGGACTATTCTCAGTCCAGCAGTGACACTGAGGTGTTTAAAAACTCCAGCAGCACTGCTGTGTCTGATCCACTCAGACCAGTGCAACACACACTAACACACCACCACCACGTCAGTGTTACTGCAGTGCTGAGAATGACCCACCACCCAGCTATCTGAGCTATTATTAATTAGTTAGTTATGGACGTGGATTATAGATTGAACAGAAAACATTTTACCATTTAGAATTGTATTAATGATAAAGGCCAAACTAAAGAGCATCTTTCGAACAAAAGCATTAATGCAACAAACAGTGAATAACTTCTTATACCCAATACTAACCACTATAACATCTAAGGAAGAAAATTACAGTTTGGTATGCTTTTTAAAGATTAAGGTACGTGCAGTGTTGCAGTGCTGTGACTGGGTAGTACAGTACTCACCCCATTCCGTGTAGTGCCAACCGAGCTAGAGTCAGAGGTGCCTGAGGCTGTGCCTGGGCTCATGGCGTCCTGACTGTCTGAGGTGGAGTCGTGAGTACTGCTGCTACCGTTGCCGTCGTTGCAAACCCGATGTCTCAGGACAAAGGCTGGGCATTCGCCCTCCCTCAGCTCCGCTCCGTCCAGCTTGTCTTCTGGTGCTTCCCCTCTTCCTCTTACTGCTGCCGAGTGCTGGACTGATCCAGAATGAACAGGAACACAACTCCAAACAGGCCTCACCAGCCACTGGATTCACCACAGGGGACTAGACACACTGCTGAACCTGAGAAAGAAGAGGGATGGAGATCAAGAGAAAGAGGCCATTAGAGAAAGCACCCACAATGTCTTTTAAATGGGCTATTAAAGCTCCACCAATTAAAACACATGTAATTATAGTGACTGTTCCCAATGAACTAGAGGCAATTACATGCTTCTGGCTTTAGCCTATGCTAACTGAACTTCAACACTGTAGTGGCCATGTATAGCCAGTAGGAGTTTCAAGGTGAGCATACCTGAGGTAATGGAATGCTTTCCTATGCTTTGCATTTCTCAAAATAAAAAGCCTAGGATATCTAGCTACAGATCTGGCATCAAGAGACATTTGGGAGCTACAGTATCAGTTTTCCTTGGTTTTAAGGCAGTCAAATCAACATCTCTGGACCACATCACACCACAGAGCAGAAAAAAAATGACAGAAAAGATAAGAAAATGCTGGTGGGAACAGCAGAAAAGCATATCTGACTCCAAACAGATGGTGGCATTGACGGAGTCTACAGGGACAACTCCTAAAAACACAAACAAGTGAGACTGCGGACCGTCGAAAAGAAAAAGTGCAAGTAAGAGGAAGCAAGCAGCCTAAATATTCATCTAATAAGTTCACAGAGTTCTTCACTCTTTGCTATTAAGCCCCTGATTCATCTGAAAAAACTTCCAGTAGATGAAAAACACATTAGCTTGAACCCTTGTGTGTAGATTCTAAAAGCTCAGTGGGCTCTTTTAAGAGAAAATAAAGCATAAGTTCATGAACAATAATCACCTTCATAAACAAAGGGTTCTTGGTATTGTTGTGCACCAAGTGGCTTGACTGAAAGTCCTGCCTCAGTACAGACAATCACTACACAAACGACAGAACAGAGAACATGAGAACGTAACACTGTGCCTCAGGGTGATAGGAACCACACTGGGCAGCACATGCCCGCCATGTTTTTAATGCTGTCCTCCCCAGCCTCGTGCCATGGCAATCTCCCCACGCAAAGAGCTTCAATGGGCCATTCGAGGCAAAGCATTTCTAAAGCTCTGACTTGGTGCCAGAGTGCTAATTTGGTGCTTAAGTCATGAGATAATAGGGGCAATTTACCCAAGAACTTTTAGGCAACTGCTTCTCTCCCTACGGATGAACGGCTTCAGCTTGGCCAGCCGCATCTAAAGGTCCTGCTAAAAGAGCAAATGGTTACTGAAGCCCTCTGAAACCCTTCAACACTCTGAACAGTGTTTAATTTGAGCCCCTGTGATCAACCGAGGCGAGACTGCAGAAGGACGCGGCTGTATAGCCACAGCTGCAAGACTGGCTGCTTCCGTATCCTCACAGACACTTGAGATTTACTCCTATTGTAAATCAAAAGCATGGCCACAGCTGTGTTCACAAAACATCCATCAGATTAGGCTCCATAATTATGTCATTATGTTTGTGATCTGTATAAGATTTAGTGAGCTCTCCTGTTAGGGACCGCGGTCACGTAAGGCCCCAGCGAAGTTCTCGGTCATGTCTATTAAGCTCAGCAAATTGTTTATAGGCTGTACTTGAAGGACGCACACTTAAGCCCGGAGGCCGGAGTACACCAACGGGACAAACACAAACAAACATGCACAGACATCTAATGTTTGCCGTTGCCCTTAGAACGTTACGAAAAAGAAACAGACAAGTAAAATGAACCAAAAACGAATGGGGAGGGTTCTAGAGTCTTTCAACAATCAAACACGGGTATGGCACTCCAATCAAACTTGCTTTTGGGGGAACTTGATCCCCTCATTGTTCTTTGTACTGTACCGTTACAAAATGGATAGGCCCGGTCCTATATTCTGATTGGCTGAGCCACGTTCAAAGCCGTAGTAAAATCCACAATACATACGCACACCTATGACGCCTCACAACAACTGAATTGTGTATTACTGCACCACGGCACAAAAAACCCTTTGTGCTGTTAATGGATTCATCTTTGAATCTCGTGCTGCCTGCATGGACCACTGAGTATATTGACAAAGTAAGAACCCATTTTTTTGTTTAAACTAAGGAGCTGGTAACTTATGTTCTTAACCTCTTATGTTTGTGGGTATATTTCAGTTTTTCCATCTGAATTTACATGCCCAAATCGTAAAGTAAATTATTCAGTAACTGCATGTGTGTAAATAAATGTGAAGTTTTGGGGTTTTTTTTGTAAAAGCTCCCCTCAAATTAACAGAAAATGTGTGTTATGATCATACACATATTGCTGTACGCTTACAATTTACTGCTGAAAGCCAAAAATCTTAGAAGCTCTTTGTATTATTTTATAAAAATAATTTTTACAGAGTACATCACTGAGGAGACGCCATCTGAGATCCAAATTGTAGCTCAGATTTGTGGAAAAATGGGTCGACTTTCAGTAGGAAAAGAAAACTGTGAGTTCAGCTTTTTTTTTACTATAAAGTTTTAAAATTACATCACCCATCTATTTGACTGGAAAGAAGACAGTTACAGCTCTCATATGACACCCCCCTTTTGAATGTAGCTTATGAAATACGAAAGCTATGAAGTAAAGAATATGACGAAGTGCGTTCTGGAACCACCGGTGGTTCCACAGAGTTAAAGAGTTAATTAGAACCAGGCTGTTCAGCCAGCTAAAAGGCTAAAAGATAGAGTTGTTTAGGCTGTTGGCTATCTTTAATATCACAGGCTTGAATGAAAGCAGCTACTTACGGTATGATTAACTGTAAACTGTTTAACTGTTTTTTAGTCATTTTAATGGATTACACACTTCAAATGTTCATGTTTCAGTCAGACGTAGCGTCAAACCCAGGCTGAATCCCAAACGGCTCCGTGCTCCCTAAACAGTGCGCTAGGTCTGAAAGTTTAGAAATTCTAGCCTCTACAGCCAAACAGTGCATCATTTATTGAGTGTGGATGTGGCTGAGTCCCACATGACTATTTCCTTAGGTATATTTTGAACTGTTGGGCTGCAGGACCCAGTATTAAGCTAAATTCCTGCATAGTGCACTATGTAGGGAGCAGGGAAGCAGTTCGAGATTCTGGATTGGTGGACTGGTGCTAAATAAGACTCGTGGTGGTAATTTGGTGATCAGAAAGTACTTATAAAGCGAAAGGTTTCTGCATTAAACAGTGCTGTCTTATCATCTAATATACAGCGATGGGTGACCGAACGTTCTCCTCATTCAGTGGTCCATGGTTGCTTGGCAAAGATAACATACTCTAAAGGAATACTTGTTTATATGAATTATTATTAATAATAACAAATTATTTTCTGAAAAATATGTATTTTATCAGATTTTACGTTGGCCAGTGTTTTATAAAAGCAATAAGCCACTTAAGGCTGTGTGTTACTGCGATTTTATCACAGGAAAGGGGGTTTTAGGACACCGTTCCCATGATAAAATCACGGTAACACACAGCCTCTTGTGGCTTATTGCTTTATTATCCGACTCAGCAAACAGCTACAAGCATAGCAATGCTGGGTGCCCCACCAGACCGAACACCCATCTGTAGGGTGCCAATGAAGGTCACTCATGAATATCAGAGCTGGATGTGAAAGTTTGGCTGCTTTATCCAAGTTTATGCAAGTTTATGCACTATACTACATTCTATGGCTCTGATGATGCACAAATTTCACAACGCGACATATCATAGTGCCAAAAACACTGCACGCATGATACATTTTCAACACAGCGTTTTTTCATCATCAGTGTCTCCACTATGTACATTATTGCCACCACTGCTTCAGAATTTTATGTCATTTCATGAAGTGACAATTACAAAACTCTGCAGAGGGCTTTTAATTTGAAATGACGGGTACAGGAAGCGGAGACACGTGGTAACACCCGATCCTGGTGTGATGCCCAATCTCACATCCTCGTCCTGATTTCACTTCCCAAAGATCCTCTGCGAGATTTAGCATGTTACCATGTTTTCATTATCATACAAGCCAGTACCGCTAACTGTAAAACGCATCGATATTTCAGTTCAGCTGTGCTAGATTCCTTGCATTTGTTTATGAATACATTTAAGTTTACAAAAAGTCAGGCATCTATGCCTTTTGAGGTCCCTCCCAGCATTGTTGATTGATGGCTGTGATATGGATGATTCACCAAATAACACTGCGAATACCGCGACCGGAAACCAGAGGAAGTAAGATGAGGACGGGGATGTGTGATTGGGCACCACGTTGGTCTTCCGATGTCTATGCACCCAACGAGAGAGAGAGAGGAGGGGTGATGGGGTGGAGTGGGGTTTGCCACAGCTGCTTAAAAAACCCCAAGAGGAAACACTGCAGATTAAGAGTAATTTTGCTTTTTTGTTGCTCAAAGTAAAGTAAAACTGTGCAGCACATTGTGAAATCATAATAAGTTTCTTTTAAGATACAGCACTGCGAAAAAGAGCCCTCTTTCATTTTTTCACACTGAAAAAAATAACTTTCAGTGCTGTTTTAACTGGACATCAATGTTGACTTTCTGACTTTTGTGCAAAACCGTAAATAAAGTCAAATACTCACAAGGTATAAATGGTTTCGGATGCAGCACAGGGACCCACTCCAAATATGTCAGTATGTCTGATATCACAAATATTTATACAGCAGAAAATCTGTAAAAACTGTGTTTGATCCACATTGCATTGTTTCACCGCCCCTGTATTGAAAACAAAGTATATTGATGTGTATGAGAACACCCATTCTACACTCAAGCTGAGCCGCACTGGTGTTTTTAGATGGCTGCCATGGTTGAATAGCTGAAACATCTCACAGGAGCTCTCACAGCCCAGCAGGGTCCATACAGTTACCCCGCAGTGCAGGACATTAAAGACGGCCTGAGGGACGGTCTCTCTGAATCATAACAGCAAACAGCTCTCCTCACTCCAGAAGCCAAAAAGGCCCGAATCCATCCGTGTGGAACCATCACTACCTTTCTGGAGCTCAGACAGACCAGCTGGGTGGAGAGGGCCGAGTAAGTGGTGAGTGAGGGCATGTGACTGGAAAAGTGATCACGGTGGATAGTGGCGGTGAGAAGTGGTCTCCG